TGGATCTGGCTTAAACACCAGCCTACTGAAGGGTGTACGTATAGACTTCGTCTACGTTCATACAGTATGCACCCGGTGCCCTTGTCTGCGATTGACACAGTATTTATCCGCCGGTGGAAGAATAATTGTGGAATTGACCATTTTTTTACTACAGCTCTTTGGTTATAAAACAAAATGTCTCAGGGGTTTACTAATAGTGCCTTATTAATGCCAAAAATGAAGCAATATTTTGCAAGAACTAGTAGCAGAAAATCAACCAGCACGAGAACAGCTGTACCCAACACAAGAACAGCCGTACCAAGCACAAGAACAGCTGTACCTAGCAAGAGAACAGCCGTACCAAGCACGAGAACAGTCGTACCCAGCAAGAGAACAGCTGTACCCAGCACGAGAACAGCCGAACCCAGCACAAGAACAGCCGTACCCAGCACGAGAACAGCCGTACCCAGTACGAGCACAGTTGTACCCAGTACTGGTACAACAGCCGTACCCAGCACGAGCACAGTTGTACCCAGCACTGGTATAACAGCAGCCAGCACCAGCTCAGAAGCAGCTGAACCCACAGCAGCAGCGAGCACCAGCAAAGCTGATGCAAACATCTAAAAACATCGTGTGCAGCTTGAACAGTTAGAACAAGTGTTAAATTTAAGTGTGTACACAGTGTTAAAATTAAAGTTGCAGTAATTTTAGTGTACAATAGTTTTCATAAACAGTATTGTAGTACTCAACATACAGCAAAACTACTTTTAATCAACACAGTGCTAACGGCATAAATGCACTGCAGTACGTATTTACTGTAGAGCATTCACAACTTCACGAAACTTCAAGATGAACATAACTTCAATAATAAGGTAAATTTATGAATTACAGTATTTTTTTAGTAGAGAAGTAATATATAGGAACAGTATGTAATATGATAATGCATTTTTATTGTGTACAAGAAAAAAAAAGACACTGACACAAACGTCACCTCTTGCAATGAATCCAACGCTCCACCGAACTGGGGTTGGTCCCATATAGTACGTTGAATCGAGGTTGTACTGTAATTGAATTGCATATCCAGCTTCCGCCTACTGAATCCCTATCTTTTTATCCTACATCCTCTTAATTTAAATACTGTCCTTGTCCACCATACTTGGGAGTACAGTATACTGTATTATCCAGACGAGTTTTCCTTCTTTTAACTGTCTTCTATCAGATAATCGGGCCTCCACTGTACAGGAATCATACAAGCATATATAAAGCATAGTACAGTACATTATATTACTGTATATTAATTATACCTATCTGTGATCTAATCTCTTATGAAAACTGAGCTCAGCTCTTGTTTTGAATATTAGCTGGCAGTCATCACACTGTGTTGTCTGAAGCGCTGCATTTCTTATCGAGTGAGACCGAGACCCAGTTGTCTTAGCTCTTCTTTCACAAGGCTCAGTAGTAGCAAGTCTTTTTGAAGATTTTCTTATCACAGGCAGTTTCAAGTTCCTTTCAGTTCCTTCATCAGGAAGTTCACTTATAAATTCAGATATTTTGGATTGCTTTCTGTTTTTTAAATTCAATTTTCTTTCTGAAGATTGATATGACTTATATTTTCTATAAGGCTTGTCCGATCCTAATTGTTTTTCTACATCGAACTGTTTTCCAGCTCCTTCTCTTTTTATTCCGTTGCCTTTTGATGGCAAGCAGGATATTTTACCTGCATTTAATTTTGATGCTTCAGCAGCATCTTCAACAGTTCTTGGTCTAGTTTTTAAGTCGGAGTGTTCAGAGGTGACCATTTCTACCTTGATTTGCACTTGTGGTTGTTCCAATTCATTGGCACTAATGGTCAAAACTTTTAACACATTCTCACCGTTATCTTCATCCAATGATGTTATTGAAATGTCTTTGGTTATATTTTCATGGTTATTATGCAATTCAGTTTTAACAAAAGAACTGAAGTTTGAGGAAAATCCTTTCTCCTTTATTTTACTATTTTTTGCCTTGTAATTTCTTTTTAGCATATTTTCCTCATCAGACTCTTCTGACTCTTGTCCAGATGACAGCTGATAATTGTCATCACTATCAGAATATTCACGAATGTCTTCTGTCCCACTCTCTGGTTCATGCTTAATGTTATAATGCAAGTAATCCCTACAGTCGACTTCGGAATACTGGGAATTGTGCTCTCTGTATTGAATCTTGCTACTAAAAGATATACCACATTTTCTACATCTATACAGCATCTTCTTTACATCCCTCACTGAATCTATATCATCCAGATTCATGTGTCTCTTATCAGCCTTCTTATAGGCAACAGATGACCTCTGTTTCTTCTCATTTGACTCCAACAGCAAACAAGACTTTCTCTTCCGTGCATCATTTAGGGAGCTGTAAGTTGCTTCATTGGGTGGTTTTATTTCATCGACTGAATCGAGTACCGAGTCAAATTCCTCTTTACAAAATATTGGATCATCCACATCTTCTTCATCCTCTGCATCTACTTTTATAGTCCTCTTTCTCCTAATTCGTTTATTTTTGCTATTTGCATTAGTAACTACATCAATGGCATTTCTTGGGAGCCGACCACGTCGAACAGCTTCCACCACTACTCGTTTATGAATATATTTATTTGCTTCTGTATTGTTAACACTATGAGCATTGGCAAGGTGGTCCAGGAGCATTTTCAAGTCATCAAAAACCCTTTGGCATTGTTCATCAAAAACACAATCAAAGTAGAGCAGCTTTCTTTTCTTTTTAGATGGCTTAGGTGTGCTGCGAGAGGGTTTATCAGGAAAATGATCCCATTCTTCATCTGGATGCCACTTTTTGTAATGGACTATAAGTGGCCGTTTACAACGATAAACCATGGAACAGAAACGACATCGGAATTTATACACACTTTTAAGTTGAGCTCCAGCATGTTTCATCTGTTCTTCCAACATTTGAGCTTTTTTCTTCATTGCTTTCTCATTCCTTAGAGGATCTCTACCGCCTGTATCTGAGTATTTGTGGTACTTACGGTTATGGTTTTTGGATTCTACATTAGACCTTAGGAAGATGTTACACTGAAGACATTTGTATGCCTTTTCATTAGGATGCTCCCTTAATATATGCCGAGTCATTGAATTCTTAACAGGAAACTTGGCCTCACAGTAAAAGCACTTAAACTTTACCTTTTCCTTGAAAACATCATCTTTTCGAAGATGCTTAGGAATGTAATAAATGATGGTATTATCTACAATAGTCATCTCCACTAAAGACATGTCAATACTTGAAGAATCAGTCTTGTCTCCTGCTGCATGAACATGCTTCGAGGTTTCTCGATGCATTGTCAACATCAACATTTTCTCGGGGTGTTCTCGTTTTTGGTGATAACGTAGCTTGCTTGGATCTTCGTAGCTGCTCTTACAAAAGTCGCAGTAATATGGAGCTTTATCTGATGGATGCTCTTTGACAATATGTCGAAACAAACGATGGCGTATTTCAGTTTTAAAATCACAATGAGGACAAGTATAATCTCCCCGAACTGTGCGACAGCTGTGAGTATTCATTTTTCTGCACGTTTCAAATGTTACATCACAATGCTGACAAAACCAAGGGGAATCATCTGGATGCTCTTCTCGTACATGACGTGCCAGAAGAAAACGATACATATAGGCATTTTTACAATAGCGGCACTGAAATCTCTCTATTGCTGCATGAATCTGAATATGGACTAACATTTGAGGTTTATTCTGACAGACCATAGTACATATCCCACACTGATGAATATAATCCGATAACTTTCCAGGAGTGCCATGAGAAATCTTCTCCTTGCATTCATGATTGGTCACATGAATGTTATATGTTTTTTGATCAGCTAAAGCTTCTCCACATTTCTCACAAAATAATAACTTATCAACATAAAATATATTGTGGCTCTGCCAAAGATGATTAGTAAGGTTATCTATAGAATTATACATTTGTCCACACTCATCACATCTTATGTTGAGGATATCATGAGCCCTTTGTCGATGCCTCTTCAATGATGTGTAATCTTTGAACCCTTGGCTACATTCGCGGCATGTTATTGGACGTTCACCAGTATGCAATCTCTCGTGATATCTCAGATTAGCTTTAGATCGAAAGGAAGCAGTACAAGATTCACACCTGTATGGTCTTTCATCGTTATGAATACGCTTGTGAATCTGCAATGGTGTGCTGTAATGGAAAGCTTTATCACATTCATCACATTTATACATTTTTTCTGTATTGTGAGTTACTTTATGGCTATTTAAAGAAGAACGAACCTTGTAAGTCTTGTCACACTTATCACACTGAAAAAGTCCAGGTGCATCACTATGAGGGGCATTCTTTACTGGAAACTTTCTATCTGGAAAGGTGTCAAGATCAACTTTTAGAAATGCCTGCGAGGAATTTGACAATGCTATGGTTTGCTCCAGGTTACTTGTTATTATAACAAAGTTCACGCGTCTATCCTGGTATGACTTCACAGATTCGGTGAGTGGAGAGATAGAAATCTGTGTCTGTGTTTCCCCCTCTACCAAAACAAGTTCAACATTGGTAAGAAACGACTGATTTCCAAAAAAAACTACGTTTTCTCCAGGCACCAGAACTCCACCTTCAAAGAGTTGTGGAGAAAAGGCTGCACACATTTCCTCAGAAAATTTTGAACTTCCATCTTCTGCATCAGGTACATAAATTAATTTAGCAGGAACATGTAATAGTGCATCATCAGAACCTTTAACCATTAAGGATCCATCCATTACTACTGCATTTAAAGCATTCTGAGTATCTATGAGAGAGAGAGACAGAGTTGATGAAACATTGTCAAGAATTGGTTGTTTTAAAAGTATCTGACCCTCACTACTGGCATCTACAGCCTCAACTGAATAATGTGTGTCAGCAGTGGCAGAGCACACTGGATTATTTACATTACTACTCATGTTTCCACTATCTATAACATGAATAACAGTTTCCTCCTTTGAAATATCTATATTAGCACTGATGTCCTTTACCTCAAGTACTGATGGAGCTTCAGGTGACAAACTTATGATAGATACTCCAGAAGAGTTTGATGAATCATGTTCTCTTGTTTCTCTCAACAAAGAAGCTTCAAGATCACCCGGCATTAAGACGAGGGATTCGCTATCCTGGGTTGCTGGCTGTATTGGAAACTGGTTACCTCCTTCACTATTCACAGAAATTCTCACAGGAGATTCTTCCTTGTTGGCATAATCTCTCTGCTCCTCCTCGTGACTTTTAAGCTCAGGGTAATTGGTCAAAGATTTGACTTTTATGATACACATACTACTAGTATCAAAGTTAACTTTTGAAATTAAATCATGATTTGAAGTTTCCAATCCTGTAAAATAACTTGTTGGTAAAGGTTTAATTTCATTGCTAGTTTTCTTTAATGCTAATTGGCGTGTCACGTCACAGGTGATGCCTCGTTGAAAATCTCCGAGTTCGTTGTTTAGGCTTGCCACAGGTTTTACATGGCAACTTATGATATCCTCATTATATACATCAAAAACACTTTTTTTATTGTCCATAAGGTTGATATGACACATGTCTAAATTACTGATTTTTAAATCCTGCTCCAAGTTCTCTACTGCAGTAACCAAACCACTACCATCCCCATCATGTGATCTGGTCTCTTCACAAGCAATATTTTCCAAACGAGTCTCCAGAATGCCTTCTTCACCTGCAGGCTTGGTGACTTGTTGACCTTGAGTTCTATCCCCTGCATCAGCCAGTATCTTGGCTCCTCCACCCTGTGAAATTACAGTAGACTCTGGTTATTCTGATCTAGTAATAAATTACATTGCTTACACTACACAGAATTTGAAATTCGTTGAACACCTTCAAACATCAGGAAAATAGTGTAATTTATATTTAGCACTTTTCATTTAAATTTATTTAAAAAAATACGGTAGCCATTGAGTTCTGACTACTTTCTCACACTGTAGAGAAATGCCAATATTCATGGACCTTATAGTTCTCATATAACTTAGCAACTTCTTCAAAATGAGCCCAAAAAGAATTGTTCATTATGTAGCTCACCTTGGACAAAACACCAATACATCAGGCCAAACTGGCACAGGGGAAAAAAAAACTAATACAATACTGATCATAATGAACCAGAGTCACCTGTATGTAACAATCACAATAATAGATCTGATCCTGAAAAAAACTATGCTGCATAATATCAAGTGTTTCACTGATATTTCAAATTAGATCATTTTTTTCATCTTTTTCCAAATTTGTTTCCATCATGACAAGTCCATAGGATTTAATGTTGTATGAAATACGCAGCTGCTAAATCGTGATCCAGGTTAAAACTATGAAATATTTGTAACAACGATGATGTTGTGGGAGAGCTGAGGGCTGGAGGAGCTTCATTGTTTTTTTTTAAATTTGGGTGGAATAAACACCCAATATCATAGTGAAAAAGTGAATAAACATGAATATCTGCCAAATAAACAGAAACTAAAAAAGTTAAAGAAACAAAGCAGAAATTGTGTTTTGAAAGAAATAGTGTGGGAGCACACAATGACCATAACAAAGATGGCTGCTGGCAAGAGGAAAGACAAAACTGATTAATTTTTATTTTGTATGGATTCGATGATGTTATGGGTTTGAGATTAATTTTTATGGGTTTGATGTGGAAAATATTATAAATCATTGATGAGGAAAAGAGTAATCACTGTAAAGTATAATGTGGATAGACTTGTGAATTTGAGCAGCGGTAATGAAAACTTGAGAACATTACAGCTCTGGAAGGGCAAATAAAGACATTGTTCAAGGATAAGGAACACTGGGAAAATTAAGGAAAATTGTTGGAGGAGAAAAATAAAATATTAAATATAGATCTTGAAGAAGTTAAATCAAATCTAAATGGTAGTGAATATGTAAGTAAGAAAAGGTAATTCAATACAAAGAGAGAGTTTTCATCAGGAAGGATGGAGCTGGTTACATAGGATAGAGAAAAGTACAAGAAGGATATGCAGCTAACCTATCCACAAACAGCCAGATAAAAAGAAATATTAGGAGCCGTTATGGAGGTGACTGAACAAAAAGTCAACACAAAGTGTACTATAGATAAACCAAGACAATCCAACAAAGCATGAACTGACAATACTATGCATGGAGTGTATGCAAATATAGGCTATCAGGAAAAACTGATGGAACATGCAAATATAAAAACCTAACAAACTGCACAAATATCCTACATACAGGAGACCGACACAAACTCTCACAAAGCTCTGACTAAAGTTATATATTATGACAGTGAGATATGGATACCAGAATTTAATCTTTTCAGATGTGACAGAAAACACAGGCTACAGGGTGGGGTCAGGCTGCACATCAGACACACTCATCTGCGTGGAGGAACTCAACACCACAAACAATATGGTTGAAGTGCTGATTATCAAAATAGAAATTCTAAATGTGGTGATTGTTCTAGAATTTAAATCACCAGATGCAAATCCTCAGCAGTTGAACAATCAACTTATAACAATAGAATACCACCTAGAAAACTTCACAAACCCTGCCACAAACATCATCTTGCTTGGTGACTTCAACTTACAGCACCTAATATGGAAAATGTGGCAAATACAGTTATACCAGAGAGAATCCCTGGAAGCAGTCTAAATAAACAGTCACACACACTAAAGACCGAAAGAGTAAAGAGTGTTGGGAAGACGGGACACCACGAGCGTAGCTCTCATCCTGTAACTACACTTAGGTAATTACACTTATGTAATTACACATGACCTCTTGCAGATGTGTGACAGATTTGACTTAAACCAGCAGACAATTGAATCAACTAGAAAAGAAAACATCCTACATCTTATTTTTAGAAGCAATGATGAACTGATTAGACACATATTTGTATGATTACAAATACTTGTTACTTAGATCAAACCTAACTGAAGTTCAAATAGGCATGGGCAATAGACATGTGCAGCCAGTCTCAAATTCAAAAATATGAAAATTCAGCAAATTAACTTAATAACAAAGGAATCAACTGGGAACAAATAAATCATAATCTCACAGAAATAAGCTGGAAAAGACAGCTGGATAATGCAAACTTAAACCAGTGCCTTGAAAAAATAAACACAGAAATATATGCAGGTCACATACCACTAAGAGAAAAAGATGCAAACTGGAATGAGAATGGTATTCCCTCTATAGGGAAGAAAACAAACAGCACAACACCTCAAACACTCCAGTCTATCTCAAGAACAACAAAGAAGGTTATGTAGAGAAATAGAAACAATCAAGCAGAAGTTGCTAGAATCATATAGAATCCAAGGGAGAGGCAGACCCCCCCAAGAGTCCATAAGAGAGAGAAATCCAAAAATACTTTTTCTCCTATGCTTTTTGTTCTCTAGAACAAAAACTACATCTTGTAAGTGAGCCCTGGCACAGGTGATGGAACGTTCACAGATGGCAACAAAGAAATGAGTGAAATACTAAGACTTCAATCTCCTGAACACATTGAAGATCAATGATCCAACCAAATTCTCTGTGGGAAGCCCCATCGGCTCCCTGAAGCTATCCTACTGATATAGTGCTATCCTATTTGGGGTCATCACTCACAGAGTTCTTGTTACCTACCAGGAACCATGAGCCAGAACCTGGCCCCGGTAATATAATGTATACAGTACATTATATTACTATATATTAATTATACCTATCTGTGATTTAATCTCTTATGAAAACTGAGCTCTTGTTCTGAATATTAGCTGGCAGTAATCGCACTGTGTTGTCTGAAGCGCTGCATTTCTTATCGACCGAGACCAAGACCAGGTTGTCCTAGTTCTTCTTTCACAAGGCTTGGTAGTAGTAAGTCTTTTTGAAGATTTGCTTATCACAAGCAGTTTCAAGTTTCTTTCATTTTCTTCATCAGGAAGTTCACTTATAATCTCAAATATTTTGGAGTGCTTTCTGTTTTTTTAAATTAATTTTTCTGTTCATAGGCCATTAAAAAGCTGAGGTGCAATAGGCACATTGAGAGAACTCGATCATCATAAAGGGCCGAACACTTTCCCTACACATATGGGGCATAGCTCTGACCTCTCACAGTGTTTAAAAGAACTTGACTAACATATTCAAAGGATACCTAATCAACCAGGCTGTGACTCATATGTGGGCTGCAAGCAGCCACATCAAACAGTCTGGCTGACCAGACCACCAACCAGGCAGCCTGGTCAGAGACCGGACCATGGGGACGTTGATCCTTGGAATTATTAAGAGGTAATCAACAATTAATCTTTCATATCACAGATGCTACTTACGCCTATACCAACACTCACAACAGAATGATAATTTTCACAAAGGTCAATCACTCACAGCTTATTTTTAATGGAAAGCATAACTTGCTTCCATTCAGTTCCCACATGTCGATTGCTGCTGCTGCTATCAGACATGAAGTTAGCAAAAAATTATCCAAGTTTATAATAAAGCAAAAAAGTCTGAAAAGAAAATTGTTCAGTAATGGAGAGGCACTGTGGAGAATCATTTCCCTCACACCCGCTACCTGGCGAGCGGATGGCTGGCAAGCTGGTTGATAGCAGTGGGTTGGTTGGTGGTAGAGTGGGCAATAGGTGGCATAGTGCAGGTGGGCTACTGTGGGTGAGCAGATGGTAGAGTGGGCAGTAGCAGGCAGAGAGTGGGTGGGCAGCTGTAGGTGGCCAGTTAGTATAGTGGGCAGGTGGCCAGTTAGTATAGTGGGCAGGTGGCCAGCAGTGGGCAGGCAAACATCAGAGATACAGGACTAACACAGACTGGCTTGTTGGCCTATAGGTTACATCTAGTCCCTCTCCCAGACACCCAGCCCCACACCAGACCCTCCCAGCTACATCCTTCACCCCATCCCTCCACTGGACCCTCCCAGCTATATCCATCCCACCTATCCCCCACCCTTCCAGCCGTGTCTAGACATCTGGACGTGATTAATACAGTATGGTTACGAGTCTCGGCTCTCTTCTTACCAGTTGGCCCAGGAGCCCCAGGAGGTACTGCCTAAGTACCCAACATCAGACTCATATTGTTCACTAACTGTGGCTGCCTGTGACTGGTTGTGAATAACTGTGAATGCCTGACTGGCTTTCAGTGGTTGCTATCATAACTATGAATGAGAAAATCTACTGTAACTCTGAGGTGACTCGGACCTGCAACCGAGAGAATCTCAGCGGGTAGGATTCTCTCAGTCACTACAGAAATATGTTACTAAAATAAAGAAATATGTTACCTACAGTATTAGGTAATAAATTTCTTTTTTTTTAATCCATGATCATTTATTAACCATAAAGGGGCTCAGCATAAGAGGCTGGAACTGAAAAAATATTTGAATTATGTGAAAATTACATTTCAATGTTAAACAATTCTCCAACTTATTGGCTTCAGCGTCGTGAAAGTTTCATCCCAATATTTTCAGAAACGGAGTTTAGATGAAGTTTTTAAAAACAAGAACATTTTGTTGATAAGGAGAACAGCTCCTATTAGCTGGAACTGATGAATAATGCAGTAATAAAGAGATGGAAGCACCTGACCAAAGAAGAAGAATAGTAGTAAGAAGTGTCCACACAGTGGATATGCAGCTGGTGCCTTTATAGCATTGCTGAGTAATACATAATACAGTAACACAAATAATAATGAGTATGTATGTTATTATGCTCTATTTTGTTATACGTATATCATATAAATACATTGCCCAATGTTAATATATGATACTTTCATCACTGTTCCAACAATATTTTTTTGT